TAAAAGCTCTGGAGAAAATAGGAATAGAAGGAACATTTCTAAAAACAATAAAAGCCATTTATGACAGACCAATAGCCAATATTATACTTAATGGGGAAAAGCTACAACCAATCCTCCTAAAAACAGGAACAAGGCAAGGATGTCCACTGTCTCCACTCCTCTTCAACATAGTCCTAGAACCCTTAGCCAGGGCAATAAGGCAAGAAAAAGACATTAAAGGGATCCGCATAGGGAAAGAAGAAGTTAAACTATTCCTTTTTGCAGATGACATGATACTATACCTCCACGATCCCAAAAACTCCATCCCCAAACTTTTAGAAATCATAAGTCACTTCGGCAAAATAGCAGGATACAAAATAAACCCACAAAAATCAGTTGCCTTCCTATACACTGATAACGTACAGGAAGAGAGGGAAATAAAGGGACAAACCCCATTCACAATAACCTCCCAAAAAATAAAATATTTAGGAATTAACCTAACCAAAGATGTAAAAGAACTATTTAATGAGAACTATAAAAAGTTAAAGAAAGAAATTGCAGAAGACACTAGGAAATGGAAAGACCTCCCATGCTCCTGGATAGTAAAGATGGTGATACTTCCAAAACTAATATACAAATTCAATGCAATTCCTATTAAAATCCCAATGACGTACATCACTGAAATACAGAAAACAGTCCAAAAATTTATATGGAACAACAAAAGACCTAGAATAGCCAAAACAATTCTAGGGGATAAAGACAATATGGGAGGGCTATCCATGCCGAACTTCAAACTCTACTACAGAGCTATAATAACAAAGACAGCATGGTACTGGCACAAAAACAGACCCGAAGACCAATGGAACAGAATAGAAGATCCAGATATAAATCCACAGGCCTACAGCCAGCTGATATTCGACAAAAGAGCCAAAGACATACAATGGAAGAAACACAGCCTCTTCAACCACTGGTGCTGGGAAAACTGGGCAGCCACATGCAGAAAACTAAAAGTGGACCCCAGCCTATCACCATGCACCAACATCAACTCAAAATGGATTAAAGACCTTAACATTAAACCTGAATCTTTGAAACTACTGCAGGACAGAGTAGGAGAGACACTTGAACTAATAGGCACAGGAAGGAACTTCCTGAACAGAGTCCCAGGGTCACAACAAGTTGGAGAGAGACTCAACAAATGGGACTACATTAAAATAAAAAGCTTCTGCACAGCTAAATCTATCGCAACTAAGCTAGAAAGACAACCAACTAATTGGGAAAAAATATTTACCAGCAATATATCAGACAAGGGGTTAACATCCTGTATATACAGGGAACTCAAGAAACTAATCCCTCCCAAACCTAACAAACCAATTACTAAATGGGCAAGGGAACTAAAGAGGGACTTCTCAAATGAAGAAATAAAAATGGCAAAGAAACACATGAGGAAATGTTCATCATCCCTGGTGGTGAAGGAAATGCAAATAAAGACAACCCTGAGATACCACCTTACCCCAGTCAGAATGTCCCACATCCACAAATCAGCCAACGACAAATGCTGGAGGGGATGTGGAGAAAGAGGAACCCTATTACACTGCTGGTGGGAATGTACACTTATACAACCACTTTGGAAAGCAGTCTGGAGGGTCCTTAGAAAGCTAAAGATTGACCTCCCTTACGACCCAGTCATACCACTTCTAGGCATCTACCCTGAACAACAGGAACCAATATACAAGGACAGGTGCACCTCCATGTTTATTGCAGCACTGTTCGCAATAGCTAGGATATGGAAACAACCTAGGTGCCCCACCACAGATGAATGGATCCAAAAATTGTGGTATCTATACACAATGGAATATTATGCAGCCATTAGAAATGACAAAATAATGGCATTTGCAGGGAAATGGATGGAGCTAGAAGGAATCATGTTGAGCGAGGTAAGCCAAGAACGAAGAGACAAACGTACATGGTCTCCCTGATAAGTGGATGCTAAATCCAAAAGGTTAGGTGATACGACAAAACTAACAGGACTTAAGAAACAAAGAACTCCCGCTCATCTGGTTGAACCACTACTAAATATCCCCATGCTGCTGATCACAAACATGGTATATAACATGTGAACACTGTTATATATTACAGACTGTGGTAGACAATTTGCTCCAGGGAAGTTAGAATGAACTTGTGACTTTGAAATTATGTAATCATTTAATCACAATCAAAAAAAAAAGAACCTCGGGGAAGGGAGGGAGGGAGGGGATGGTAGGGGGAAAACAATGGAGGGGGGTAACAATGTTCAAGAGGAAGTGTACTCATTACCTCACTCATGTAACTGTAACCCTCTGTATAGTAGCTTTACAATAAAATAAAATTTAAAAAAAAAAAAAAGAAGTCTCAAACATCGTGAATTGAGCCAAACCACTCGTATTTGTTACATCCTGTGCTCAAGTTTGCAGCATGGAGCAGGGGGATGGAACTAGATGACCTCCACCAGAGGCCTCTCCTGTGGTCTTAAGGGTCTGTGATATGGCATTTGTATAGACAATAGACAGCCTAACAGACAGAAGAACATGCCAGGAAAATTCAGAAGGACTCTGCTTGTCTCCTGGGCCAAAATTAAGTTGAATACACACGATGTTGAGTTTCAGGTCCAACCCTTTGCCATCAGGTAGCATCAGAACAAGAAGAGTGTGGGCAGCTTTGTCTGATCAGCCAGCTAAGGGCTGCACCGCTGGGGCCAGGCTGGCTGGCCACAGGCAGGCTCACAGAGTGGCCTCATAGCGCTGGAGCCAGACTCAATGGCCAGCCGGCTACGATCTCTCAGACACTGCCATGTGTCACGTCAAACCAGCTGTCTAGCTTAGCGATGCACTCAAATTTCTCATACATTTTTCCTTCTAACATCATAACTTCAAGACAAATGACACTTTCTACAAAACCTGGGTCAGCATCTAGGAAGTGTTTCCCCAACTCAGCATTTCGTCAGCTCCTATTACACCTACTGCCAAATGACAACAAGCAGAATAATCCTCTTCCTGCACTGCCACTTAACAAATATTAAAAGTGTTATGGAGTTGGGCAACTTCATTTGGGGAGATTTTCACCCTTTATTGAGCTCTCTAGCGGCTGACTTAAATGTTCAGGGAAAAAGTGAAATATCCCAAGTTCTGATTGATGTTGAAGTAACACCAGGTATTATTTTACACAAGTGAGGTAAATCACTATGATGAAACATCATCAGGGATTTGACAGCTTTTGAGTTTGAATCTCTCCTTTGAAATAGGAACCACAGAAGGACAAGAAGAGCTCCCAGGCCCCGTCTGGCGTTCCCCGGCAGTTATATCAGGCCCACTTGGCAAAATGTGTTCCACCGTCCGTCAGAGGTCTTAGAGCTAGCTGCTTCAGAGCAGGCACTCGCATTGGAGCTGGGGAGCAAGTGGCAGACTGGGCAGCACACTCTGCTGGCCCCTACTGGCTCCTCCCCCAGACAGGCACCCTGGTGTGCTTGAGGGGGAAGGTATGCCCCAGGGCATGTCCAGCACCCATAGCTGAGTACTCAGGGGCAACCCTAGAGTGAATGTCCAGTAACCGTAGGAGCCATGAGTTCTCTCTTCTCATGCTCTATGCTGCATAAACCCAGCCACATCCAAGCACTTTCCCAACTGCCACATTCCCAACTACTGTCTGTTTTCATCTAGTCTATATGGAATCAATCATAGAACCCTATCGTTCTATTTCCCTAACTTTTTTAGGGGGCGGGGAGGTCGTTCATGGGGCTTGAACTGAGGGCCTGGGCATTCTCTGAGCACTTTCGCTCAAGGCTAGCACTCTACCACTTGGAGCCACAACTCCACTTCAGTTTTCTGGTGGTTAACTGGAGACAAGAATCTCACAGGGAATTTCCTGGCTTCAAACTGCAATCCTCGGACCTCAGCCTCCGGAGCAGCTAGGATCACAGGAGCGAGACACCAGTGCCCAGCTTCCCTGACTCTCTTAACACATAGTATTTCTTTATTCCTACTGCCTCAAGCTTCATATACCCTTGTCCATCTTTCCTGGCCTCATGGTTCCTCAGTCTTTCCTCTAATACATCCTACACAGCAATGTTCAGCCCTTAAGCATCAATGCATAGTCCCTAACTGTTTGTGGATAAATTCTAAATTCCTTAGTATGACCAGCACCCACTAGTGCTGAGTTCCTGTTCAAACACATCATCTGTCATTCTATCACACCTAGTCTGTGTTACCGTACGGCAAATCTTCATGGCCTATCTCCAGTTCCTGTAGTTATGAACAATACTACCTGTGGTTCCCTTAGCCCTTTCTGCACACTTCTCTCCTAACTACACTGGACCCCGGTGATCTCTTCAGATACTTGTTTCCCTAGAAATAATGGAACAAGACGCTGGGGGCAGAGACCCTGTCTTTCTCTCAGAATGGGGCACAGGGGTGCAAAGAAGACATCCTCGTAAGTGTTGCTGATTCTATTAATCAGCCAGAACTCTAGAAGACAAGAGGAATTAAGCCAGGAGAGTGAAAAGATGCCCTTCATCAGGGTACTTGCATCTAGTCTCTTGTGGCCTGAGAGCTGGTGCTGTGACATTTATTAATCTCTCCAGGCTTTGGTTTTCCATCTGCTGAATGACTGTTCCACAGTCTCTTTAGTACTTCCATTCTAGCATTCAGACTATCTTCCTTTAAACCTACAACAAAGGGACTATGAAGCCCTCTAGGAACCTGGGCAGTCTACAAGGCCAGCCAGGAAGCTGCTCTTCTTCAGACCTCTAGGCCGAGCTCCAAAGGCTCCTGGGGAAGGCTGCTCTCTAGCACCCTTCCTCTCGTCAGCCTCCACTGGGTGTGAAGGAAATCATAGCTGCTTGTACTGTTTCAGACTACAGATTTCAGCCCCAAAGCATCTTATTAAATACTATGCACGAGTTTTAAAAAAAAAGTGAAAACGATCATCCTTCAAAGTAGCAAGTACTGAAAACGGAATTGCTGCCTTGAGCCCCTAGGCTTCCCAATCACCTGGTGACACCGTACTCCGGAGGCGGCTGGTACCTCAGGACAGCCACTTCTGTTCTCACAGGCTGAGGGGCAGGGTACGGTGTCACCATCTCGTGGAGCACCCCAGGGTGCTGGTCGTTGTAGAAAAGTCCGTGATCCTGGTTCTTGCTGACGGGAGACACCATCTGCTTGGTCTTGAAGGGGTAATCAGGTGGAGGGCCGCGCGGGTCCAGGGCTTTACTAGCAGGCGGGGCTGGGTTCGGTCCCCCTCCGGCTTTGAACCCCTTTCCGCTCCCCGAGCCAGGGAGGTGCTGCTTGGCACCATTCCTCTCCAGTGAGAGCTGCATGATCCTCTCGCTGAGCGAGCGGACGTGGCCCTGCTTCAGCTCCTTCAAGGCGTCATCCTTATGTGCGTGTCCGCCGTGGGCGCGGTTCACTGTGGGCCTTCCCTCCGTGCGCGACTTCTGGCTGGTGCCCCCCGCCATGTAGTAGCCGTGGCCCACGGGCGTCTGCTGCTGCTGCTGCTGCTGAGTCTGCTGCTGCTGTGTCTGCTGCTGCCCTCTGAAAAACTGGGACTGGGCTTTGGCCTCCTCGTACGTGGGCAGCTCCTCATTGTTCTGCTGAGGCTGTGTGGGCCGGACCTGCCTCTCCATCGCCGCACTGTCCACCTGGCGTTCTTGACCCTGAGGCTCCTGGCGCGCTGACGGGTAGACCATTTGTGGCTCTTCTTGAATGAGGGTTTCCGTGGAAGAAAAGCTGCTTGCTGCGTGAGGAGGTCCTGCACTCCCTGTGGCTTGGTGCTGAATGGCCAGCAAATTCATGTTCTCGGTAGGGGTGCCATAGCGCAGTTGTTCCTGGATCAGCCGCTGTAACACCGTTCCAGCAGCCACATCCTCCGAACCTCTCATTTCCACCTCTGAGATCCTCAGGAAGTTTCAAAGAGGATCTTCAACTAAAGGATAAACACAGGAAAAGACACATCAGGCCATTCCCCAGGAAACATGTTTCTGTGTCGTGAACAATTAACATTTTAATTACAGTAGCATTTAAAGACAAAATGTCAACTATACCATCAGTTTCATCTCCCCTCTGATATCTCACGGACCTATTTCTCTACCTCCCAGCACGTCCTCTTCTCCCCCCACCTCCTGACTTTTGATTCCCTCTCTTTGTACTCACTCCTGAACTTTTGCATCCTTCAAACCCTCCCTCTTTCCTTTAACTTCTCCACCGGTCTCTCCTCTTCACCAGGAAAACATATCCAACTCTTTCCCATCTTAAAAAATAACAATTTTTAAAGCCCAAACCAACACACACACACACACACACACACACACACACACACACCCTTCTGTTGGCTCCTCTTCACCAGGAAAACATATCCAACTCTTTCCCATCTTAAAAAATAACAATTTTTAAAGCCCAAACCAACACACACACACACACACACACACACACACACACACACACACACACACACACACACACACACACACACACACACACACACACACACACACACACCCTTCTGTTGGCTCTACCATAGACTTTTCATTGTTACCCTTCATCTCCCTTTCCTTGTCTTCACTAAGCAACCTATACAACCAATATCTCAAATGCTCTGATTAGTAACAAAACCCAAGAACAGCGTCTGGCTCTCATTACACACCTGACCTCCTGAACACCTGGCATGGCTGCTCACGCTCCTCGTGCAACCTTCTCCCAATGCAGCATCTGAGCTGCTTCTCCTCATGCCGCTGTACTCACGACCTAATTCCCTTCACTTTACCTCCCTCTTAAATTCTGTATCCCCTCAAAGAACTATTTCAAAATTACAAATGATGTGCTATGTATCGCACAAAGTTCTCTCTGTATGTTGTTTTACGCATCCCACAAATAACCCTATGATGAACCCAGTGAACAGACACTCAGCCTCTGACTCCAGTGCATGTGCCAGCTGCTGCGGGGTCCTGGGCAGCCCGCTAAACCTATGCCTCTGACCTCTTCTCCAAACCCCATCTCTATCCTGTCTGCTAGGACCATGGGTTGTGTCCCCATTTTCTAGAACACTGACCTACACACAGGGATATTTAGGAGATGACTGCGGAAGAAATTAAGGAATTCTATAGGGCTGGAGGAATGACTCCACAATAGTACATCTATGTATGAAGCACAAGGCCCCAATTTTATAGACTGGACACTAAAACTGAGCTTTGATCATTAGATTTGCCCTGACTCCTGGCAAAAAACAAAAACAAACAAAACAAAAGAAAAACAACAAAACTTACTGCTATGATCTCAGGCAACTTATTTGGCTTTTCTGCATCTCTCCTTTGAAAAATAGGGAGATTAAATATCTGCCTCACAAGAATGTCGTCAAACTTATCCCTTAGCATTCAAGAATGCAAGCTATGATTGAATGTAAACGCAAAAGTCCAACAATAAAAATAGATTGTCAAGGCAGGAGCCAGTGGCTCACACCTGTAATCCTAGCTACTCAGGAGGCTGAGATCTGAGGCATATGGTTCAAAGCCAGCCAGGGCAGGAAAGTCCATGAGACTCTTATCTCCAATTAACCACCAGAAAACTGGAAGTGGCACTGTAGGTCAAGTGGTAGAGCGCTCGCCTTGAGCTGAAGAGCTGAGGGACAGCGCCTAAGCCCAGATTTCAAGCCCCACAACCAACAAAAAAAAAAAAAAAGATTGTCAAAAGTTCACATAAGATGAATTTGCCAGATAATTGTAATAAACAACGAGTATCCTAGGAAAAGAGATCAAGGTAGGTTAGAATGGTCCACTCATTCACTTGGCAAAAATGTCTTCCATCTTTTATATGCTGGTAGATGTTGGAAGTATGAGACTAAAGAGGAAAGAGCATATACCCTTGGGTAACAGATCTGAATGAATGGAAACTCTTACTAAAATTCAAATAAGAATAAATAAGCTTATATTACAGACTGTGGTAGACAATTTGCTCCAGGGAAGTTAGAATGAACTTGTGACTTTGAAATTATGTAATCATTTAATCACAATCAAAAAAAAAAAAAAAAAAAAGAACCTCGGGGAAGGGAGGGAGGGAGGGGATGGTAGGGGGAAAACAATGGAGGGGGTAACAATGTTCAAGAGGAAGTGTACTCATAACCTCACTCATGTAACTGTAACCCTCTGTATAGTAGCTTTACAATAAAAAAAAAAAAAAAAGACAAAAAAAAAAAAAAGAATAAATAAGCTAAGATAAAAATGCAATTCTCATAGAAAATAATATGGATAAAAAAAATTAAAAATTAGGGGCTGGGAAGATGGCTCAGTGGTAGAGCGCTTGCCTTGCATGCCTGAGGCCCTGGGTTCGATTCCTCAGCACCATATAAGCAAAAAGAAAAAAGCCGGAGGTGGCGCTGTGGCTCAAGTGGTAGAGCGCTAGCCTTGAGCTGAAGAGCTGAGGGACAGCACCCAGGCCCAGGGTTCAGGCCCCACGACCGGACCCAAAAAAAAAAAAATTAAAAATTAAAGCTATTGAACTACTTTTTCAATGGAGAAAGATAAGTTCTAAGTACATTTGTCAAGAACCGTAAGTTCCTACCCAATTTTTTTAATTCTCTTATTGTTTTACCAGTCTCAAAAGCCTTCATAGATAGGCAGTTATTACAAAGGAGATGGTTCCTTCTATACTAGTTTTTAATTATATCTTCTGAATTTATTACTTGCAAAAACAAGAGAAAAAAAGAAAAAAAAGTGTGTAAGATTCTAAGAAACAGTAGGAAAAAGAGACTAAGTGATATAACTCTGAAGTTCTTACATCATAGGACATGATTATAAATAAAGCACTTGCCAAAACGAAACCAATACTCTCACATGTTTATTTGTAACAGGAGGGTAGGAAGTAAGGTGAGATATGCACTGCAGTCGTCCCTGCTGATCTTGGAAGATACACTCCAAGACCTCACGTGGGCGTCTGAAACTAAGAGAGCACCAAACCCTACAGATACTTTGTTTTCCTGTATACACATAGGATGAAGTGTAATTTATAGATTATGTACACAAAGAAATTTTAAACTACTAGTAAAATAAAACATATGCAATAAGGCTATCTGAAATATATAAATTGGTGATTTCTAGTATTTTTCATTTAATATTTTTCATGTAACATTTTCAGACTTCAGTGGACCTCACGTAATTGAAAGCTATGGAAAATGCAGACAAAGATAAGGGCTAAAAATGAGAAAGAGGGCCTTTCTGGTCCCAATACCAATGACAGTAGTAGGACTTACCAACTTTCTCCCTGATGCTAGTCTTTGCCTCTACTGTCAAAGAAGATGCTTTACGTCTCCCAAAATAGAGGTGGAAGTCTGGATAAAAGTGGTGTGAGTCCTGTTGGGTCTGCCCAGGACTGCTAGGGCTGTAACAGACAGGAGGCAAAGCTGCTAAAAGGAAAGGAAAGTTCATGTTAGTGCTGATGAAGTGTGATTCACAAGCACACGAGTCATTCTCCCACACTTCCACTGGTAGCAGAAGCTCTGTTTTCCAGATTCATGAAATTCCAAAGTTACTATTCAGAATGCTTCCAAGTCCAACCACCAAACAACCCATGAGTTCATTCAACAGAAGTTTTCAAGAGTCACTAAGTGAAGACACATATGCTTTTTCACACTTCCCAGTTCCAAGAACAACACTAGTAAAAGTCCTCAGTGGAATTAGGGCCACAGGTTCCGATGGTCAAGTTGGGGGGCAGGGGGGAGGAGGAAGTGAGAAGATAAGAAAAGGAAAACTAAAATGGGAACAGTAGCTGTGTCCCAAAATACATGAAGGGTACAGAAAAGCCGTTTGGGTCACTTTGCAAGGCTCTGTGCCAGTAAGAGAACATCTCAGCCCAGGACAGAGTGTATTTTCCCTCACTTGAAGGTTTCTAAAGTCTCAGTGGCAGCATGGATGGAGCTTGGGTTCTGGGCTTCAGACAAGTGAAGGCCTTTCAACTCCAGTTAACCTCCTCAACACAGAAATCAGAGTGCGCTTCCTGTTCCAATTAAATGTGACATGGTGCTCTGTCCAAGAAATGCCACGCCAGAAGTACTGATAGCACACATGCCACCACTCCAGAAGTACCATAGCGCACGTACCACATCTGTGATACTACTCCAGAAGTACCATAGCGCACATACCACATCCACGCCACCATGCCAGAAGTACCAATAGCACACACACCATATCCATGCCACCACTCCAGAAGTACCAATAGCACACAGACCATATCCATGTCACTACTCCAGAAGTACCATAGTGTACATTCCATACCCGTGCCACCACTCCAGCATGTGCCACATCCATGATACCATGCCAGAAGTACCATAGCCCACATGCCACATCTATGATACCACACCAGAAGTACCATAGCGCACTTACACATCTATGATACCACACCAGAAGTACCATAGCGCACGTACACATCCATAACACACCAGAAGTACCATAGTGCACATACCACACCAGAAGTACCATAGTGCACGTACCACATCTATGATACCACACCAGAAGTACCATAGTGCACGTACCACATCTATGATACCACACCAGAAGTACCATAGTGCACGTACCACATCACATCTATGATACCACACCAGAAGTACCATAGCGCACGTACCACATCCATGATAACACACCAGAAGTACCATAGCGCACGTACCACATCCATGATAACACACCAGAAGTACCATAGCGCACGTACCACACCAGAAGTACCATAGCACACGTACACATCTATAATACCACACCAGAAGTACCAAAGTGCACGTACCACATCTGTGGGATTGCATAGTCAGGCAACTAACCAAATGTGGTCCAGCCCTTTGTTGTTTTTATTTTGGGATAGGGCCTCACTGAGTTAGTTGCCAGACCAGCCTTGAATTTACTACTGCAGCCCAGTTTTGCCTTGAATGTGTGATTCTCCTGCTCTGATCTGTTCTGAGTTTACAGGTGTGTGAAACCACATCTGACTAAAGACTTAAATTTTTATATTTGATACTGTGTACTGACTTTTTTTTTATGAATAGTGCTTTTGACATTATATGTAAGAACATTTTGTTCCAAAGATTTTTCTCCAATTTTTTCTGAAGTTTTTGTATTTTACATGTAAATTATAGCTCACTTTTTTTTTTGGGCGGGGGAGGTCATTTGTGGGGCTTGAACTCTGGGCATGGCTCTGTCCTTAAGCTCTTCAGCTTAAAGCTAGCACTCTACCACTTGAGCCACCATGCCACTTCCGGTTTTGTGGTGGTTCATTTTGCGATAAGAGTCTCAGACTTTCCTGCCCAGGTTGGCTTTGAACCATGATCTTCATATCTCAGCCTCCTTAGTAACTTGGATTACAGGCATGAGCCACCAGTACTCGGTTTATAGCTCACTTTTATCTTTCTTAAGAGTTCAGGTTGGAAGTGAAGCTGTAGCTCAAGTGGTAGAGTGCTAGCCTTGACCCAAAGAAGTTCAGAGACAGCACCCAGGCCCCAAGTTCAAGACTCAGGACTGGGAAAAATGAAGAGTCCAGGTGTCTTCCTGCTGTCTTAGCTATTGACTGGTCAGTTAGTACTCTGTAAGTGAACAGAGCGACACGGGCATAGCATAGTTCCTTCTCAAGAGTGGAGACTTTACCACATGTTAAGAACTGTAATGGGCCGGGAAGGTAGCTCAGTGGTACAGTGCGTGCCTAGCATGCATGAAGCCCTGGGTTTGAGTACCACATACACAGAAAAAGCCAGAAGTGGCACTGTGGCTCAAGTGGCAGAGTGCTAGCCTTGCGGGGGGGGGGGGGGGGGGGGGGGGGGGGGAGGCTGACCAGAGAGGAGTGGATGGGGGGGGGGGGCTGACCAGAGAGGAGTGGATGGGGGCGGGGCTGGTGAGAGAGGAGTGGACAGGGTGGGGGTGGCTGACCAGAGAGGAGTGGACTGGGGGGGGCTGACCAGAGAGGAGTGGACGGGGGGAGGGCTGACCAGAGAGGAGTGGACGGGGGGGCTGACCAGAGAGGAGTGGACGGGGGAGGGGGCTGACCAGAGAGGAGTGGACTGGGACCTGCTGACCAGACGGGTAGACTGGGACCCACTGACCAGACTGAGGGGTGGACGGGGACCAGCTGACCAGACTGAGGAGTGGAGGGGGGGGGCAGCTGACCAGACTGAGGAGTGGACGGGGACCGGATGACCAGACTAAGGGGTGGACGAGGGGGTATGGGGGGCTGACCAGACTCAGAAGTGGACAGGGACCGGATGACCAGACTGAGGGGTGGACGGGGACTGGCTGGCCGGAGTGAGGAATGGACAGACACCCCCTTGCCAGCTAGAGGGGCCGTGGGCCAGGGAGGACACTGAGCACTTTTTCAAGTGGACAGGAGAGAGCTGGCATCACCTCTCTGACCCTCCTCTCTCGGCTGCAGATGACAGAAGCCAGGGTCTCTTAAGCCCTGTGGGGATGGAGGAGGGTGAGGAATACTGATTGAGGGGCATAAGGAAATCCAAGGAGTTTTATCTTTGGGGCTGGGAAGGTAGCTCAGTGGTAGAGTGCTTGACTTGCACTGGAGTGGGGCTGTGGCTCAAGTGGTAGGTCAGCGGGTCTCAGTCCACCCCTCAGTCTGGTCAGCGGGTCTCAGTCCACCCCTCAGTCTGGTCAGCGGGTCTCAGTCCACCCCTCAGTCTGATCAGCGGGTCTCAGTCCACCCCTCAGTCTGATCAGCGGGTCTCAGTCCACCCCTCAGTCTGGTCAGCGGGTCTCAGTCCACCCCTCAGTCTGGTCAGCGGGTCTCAGTCCATTCCTCTCTGGTCAGCCCCCTCCCCCGTCCACTCCTCTCTGGTCAGCCCCCCCCGTCCACTCCTCTCTGACCGCCCCCCCCCCGTCCACTCCTCTCTGGTCAGCCCTCCCCCCGTCCACTCCTCTCTGGTCAGCCCCCCGTCCACTCCTCTCTGGCCGCCCCCCCCGTCCACTCCTCTCTGGTCAGCCCCCCGGTCCACTCCTCTCTCTGGCCGCCCCCCCCCCCGTCCACTCCTCTCTGGTCAGCCCCCCGTCCACTCCTCTCTGGTCAGCCCCCCCGTCCACTCCTCTCTGGCCGCCCCCCCCCGTCCACTCCTCTCTGGCCACCCCCCCCGTCCACTCCTCTCTGGCCGCCTCCCCCGTCCACTCCTCTCTGGTCAGCCCCCCCCGTCCACTCCTCTCTGGTCAGCCCCCCCGTCCACTCCTCTCTGGCCGCCCCCCCCCCGTCCACTCCTCTCTGGCCGCCCCCCCCCGTCCACTCCTCTCTGGCCGCCTCCCCCGTCCACTCCTCTCTGGTCAGCCCCCCCCCCGTCCACTCCTCTCTGGCCGCCCCCCCCCGTCCACTCCTCTCTGGCCGCCCCCCCCGTCCACTCCTCTCTGGTCAGCCCCCCCGTCCACTCCTCTCTGGTCAGCCCCCCCGTCCACTCCTCTCTGGCCGCCCCCCCCGTCCACTCCTCTCTGGCCGCCCCCTCCCGCGTCCACTCCTCTCTGGTCAGCCCTCCCCCCTCGCTCCGGCCCCTTCAAGAGGCCCAGTGTCCGGGTCTCCTCACGTCCGTCTCGCGGAGACCGCGGGCTCCGAGTCCGGCTCCTCGGGGCGCTGGGACCCGCGCGGTGTCCGAGCCTGAGCCCGGGCGGCGCCGGCGGGGGCTCCTCCCCGGGCTCCGCTCGAGCCTCTGGGCGGCCCGCCCCAGCCGCAAGGCCTCGGCCCGCGGACCCGGCCGAGGCGCGGGTCGGAGAGCCCGAGGACGGGCGGATTCCACGCCAGCCCCGCGGAAGAGGAGGGCCCGGCCTGCGCTCGGGGGGAAACCCGGCCCGGCCCGGCCCTGCCGGTCCCAGCGCTCCCGGCCCCGTCTCCCGGCCCCGTCTCCCGGCCCCGTCTCCCGGCCCCGGCCCCGTCTCCCGGCCCCGGCCCCGTCTCCCGGCCCCGACCCCGGCCCCGTCTCCCGGCCCCGTCTCCCGGCCCCGACCCCGGCCCCGACCCCGGCCCCGTCTCCCGGCCCCGGCCCCGTCTCCCGGCCCCGGCCCCGTCTCCCGGCCCCGACCCCGGCCCCGTCTCCCGGCCCCGTCTCCCGGCCCCGGCCCCGTCTCCCGGCCCCGGCCCCGGCCCCGTCTCCCGTCTCCCGGCCCCGTCTCCCGGCCCCGACCCCGGCCCCGTCTCCCGGCCCCGTCTCCCGGCCCCGTCTCCCGGCCCCGTCTCCCGGCCCCGGCCCCGTCTCCCGGCCCCGGCCCCGGCCCCGTCTCCCGTCTCCCGGCCCCGTCTCCCGTCTCCCGGCCCCGTCTCCCGGCCCCGGCCCCGTCTCCCGGCCCCGTCTCCCGGCCCCGACCCCGGCCCCGGCTCCCGGCCGCAGCCCCGTCTCCCGGCCCCGACCCCGGCCCTGTCTCCCGGCCCCGACCCCGGCCCTGTCTCCCGGCCCCGGCCCCGTCTTCCGGCCCCGTCTCCCGTCTCCCGGCCCCGGCCCCGGCTCCCGGCCGCAGCCCCGTCTCCCGGCCCCGACCCCGGCCCCGGCCCCGTCTCCCGGCCCCGGCCCCGGCCCCGACCCCGGCCCCGGCCCCGGCCCCGTCTCCCGGCCCCGGCCCCGGCCCCGTCTCCCGGTCCCGGCTCCCGGCCCCGGCCCCCTCTCGACGCCGCAGACGCCCGTCCCGGGGACCGGCTCCGCTCGAAGAGTTGGCCGTCCCGGAAGCCACTCTCCCAGGCGGCCCCGCAGGCCGGGGAGGGCCGAGCGGCTCCGGCGGCCCCGAGCCGGGTTCCCGACGAGAACAAAGGGCGCGGGGTTGGGGGACCGGGCCGGGGCCGGCGCCGCCCGCTCGCCGGAACCGGACCCCCGCGGGGCAGGGGCGGGGGCGGCGCCGGCCTCTGCGCCGGGACACCCAGGCCGGGGGCGCCCGGCGTCCGGGGTCGGGCCCAGGGCAGCGCCCTCCGGGAGGGCGCCGGAGGACCCAGCTCCCTGGCCTCGGTGGGCGACCGCGAGCACCGCGGGAGGCCCGGGAGGCGGCGGGGCCCGCGTCCCCCACCCCTGGCGGACCCTCCCGGCTCCCGCGCCGCCGCCGCCGGAGGGGCTGAGGGAAGCCGCGCGCGCCGGGGCGCGGGCGCTCCGCGCGGCATCTCGCGCCGCCGGCCGCTTACCTCGGTCCGCCGGCCGGCCGCTCCCCGACGCGGCCCCGTCCTCCACACGCGGCGACCACGGCGCGGCCCGCGGCGCGAGGGGGCGGCCGCCGGCGGGGCGGGGCGGGGCGGCGCGCGGGCGGCGCCCGACGGGCGTCCGGGCCACGCGGGAAGCCCGAGCGGCCAGGCCCCGCCCCCGCCCGGAACTCGACGCCCTCCGCGGGGCCCGGAGCCGCCGTCCGCGCAGCTCGGCCCGCGCCCGCCCGAGGGTGGCCGGGGCCCGGCCCGGCCGCGCGGCCCTAAAACCCGCCGCCGCCCCCCGGGCCCGCACGGCCGCGCCGGGGCGCGCTCAGGCCCGAGGCCGGCCTGCCCGGGAGCGGACGCCCGGCCCCGTCCGGCCCGCGCCCCGGATCCTCGCGCGCACGGACGCCCGGAGCGATGTGGCCGCGGCCACGGGAAGGAAGGGCCCGAGCCGCCGCGGACGCGCGGGCGAGACCGCCCTCCCCCCGGCGCGGCTGCCCGCGCCACCGCGGGGACGGCCGCCGGGCCTGGGCTCCGGCCGGGCCGGGAAGGCCCCGCGCCCTCGGGAGGGAGCGGGAGCGCGGCAGGGCCGGGGCCTGGCCCCCGCGCGGACCCCAGCCCGGTGACCCCCGCCCGCAGCGCCCACACGGCCGCCCCCCCCTGCCGCCTGGCTGAGGCCGTGGGTTCTGGGTTTAGGCAGCGTGGCCGAGGCCGAGAGACCGGAGCCCCTAACCCCCCCCCCCCCCCCCCCCCCCGCTCCTCACTGCCCACCGGGCGGTCGCGGCCCTTCCGGCCAGTGGTCCTCGGGGACCCCAGGGTGGGTGGGACTTCCTAGGAGCAAGAGAGCCAAAGGTAAAGGCAGGAGGGCGGCTGGGGCCTCCGCAGACAGCCATGGCGCCGGGCGGGTCACGGGGTCCTCAGGAGCACACGGTCCAGTGTGTCAGGGTCACGGGGTCACGAGCACAAGGTCGAGTGTGTCAGGGTCATGGGGTCACGAGCACACGGTCCAGTGTATCAGGGTCACGGGGTCACGAGCACAAGGTCGGGTGTGTCAGGGTCACGGGGTCACGAGCACACGGTCCAGTGTGTCAGGGTCACGGGGTCAAGAGCACACGGTCCAGTGTGTCAGGGTCACGGGGTCAAGAGCACACGGTCCAGTGTGTCAGGGTCACGGGGTCACGAGCACACGGTCCAGTGTGTCAGGGTCACGGGGACCTCACAAGCACATGGTCGAGTGTCAGGGTCACAGGTCATGGTCAAGTGTGTCATGGTCACAGGGTCACGAGCACATGGTCGAGTGTGTCAGGGTCACGGGGTCCTCATGAGCACACAGTTGAGTGTGTCAGGCCACCTTACCCAAAACAACGCTTTCTTTAGAGAACAAGTTGTATACACACATGGATTTTCAGTCCTGGGCCTGGAACTCAGGCCTGGGCGCTGTTCCTGAGCTCTTTGCTCAAGGCCGCTCTACCACTTGAGCCACAGCACCATTTCCGGTCTTTTGTATGGTTAATTTGAAAATAAGAGTCTCACGGACTTTTCTGCCTGGGATGGCTTCAAACCTCGATCCTCAGATCTCAGCCTCCTTAGTAGCTTGGATTGCAGGTGTGAGCCACTGGTGCCCAGATTAAGTTAGGATATTTTAAATCCAAGTACCCCAGTGCTGTCCAAACCATGTCAAAATTTAAGCCCTTCCTGTCTCACTTCCAGATCTCAGAATGCTCAGGGTTAGAATCCCAGAACCCACACGGGTGGATTCAGCAGTTTCCCCTTGCCCTGGTGAACAGCTCTTCTCCTTCAGAAGCATTGACTACATCAGAACTTAACCCCTAGAAGCAAAGGATGATGCAGCTTATTAAAGATTAAAAACAAAGCATCTAGGGGCATAAATACAAAAGGATAGGTTCCAAGCAATCCAAGTGCTGAAAGGAGTATATTTCTAGCAAAGCCATAAACCCACAAAAAGAAGCATACATCGTGCATACACAATGTGCTTTCTTTAAAGAAAGAAATGGGGAAGGCATATATTACATTTTATAGTCAATACTTTTACCTTCTTTGTAAACATAAAACTGTCAAACCAAAACCTGACTTGGTAAGTCCCTGTTTATGTCCTCAGAGATAATAAGTCCTCCTTTATCTGTATTTTCTCTTTCTGTGTGGCAGTTAGCCAGCTGCAGTCCAGAAGCTAAATGGAATATTTTACGATTTAAAAAATGCCTAAGATGTGCATACTTTGTGAAGTGTGAAGGCTCTGGGTGCCTGCTCTCCTTCGTCCAGGTGTGCGTTCCCAACCTGCCACCCACGGGTCTGGGTGAGCAGAACACCTCAGACAGCCCTCTGCACGCACTTCCTTCTACCACGGGAGCTTGTCATAACTATTTGAGCTCGTTATTTGTTGCTCTTCCACTGGCTTAGTTATGCAGGAGACGCTCCATCTCCACACATTCACATTGTGTTCCAGTCAGTTTCCGTCACACTGTTACGCTGCTAAAAAATATCACTTCCAAAAGATTTCCTTACTGTTTTTCATAATTTACTCAGTCTATTAGAGTGCCTATTTTGTAAGTTCAACTTTATCATATGTATGTATGGGAAAAAAGATAGCACCTGCTTGGCCATCTTGGAACATATCTTTCCTACATGAGGAACACAAGTGTGTTATCATCAGGCAAGAATACTTTTCCAAGCTTTTCTTTCAGTCCTGTATTTCAGGAAGACAGTAGTTGTTCAGCCCTCTATTTACCCCTGCTCTCCCTGCCTGCCCAGCTTGTTTCCAAAGTCAAGTCGTGTTCTTGAACAGGGTTTTTACCTAGCACAGCCTGCTCTGGACCCCTGACACAGTCCCTGTCCCCCTGTGCCGGGGTTGACAAGCAGCCCAGTGCCCCGGGTGCCGGGGGTACATCAGTGCTGTGAAGAGGAGGAGCCCTTGCCAGGACCAGATGGACTAAGAATGGAAGAGTTAAGAGAAAAAAAGGCAGCAGGTGGGGCTGGGAAGTGGCTCAGTGGTAGAGCGCTTGCCTTGCATGCATGAGGCCCTGGGTTCGATTCCTCAGCACCACATAAGCAGAAAAAAAAAAAAAAAAGCTGAAAGTGGCGCTGTGGCTCAAGAGTGGTAGAGCGCTCACCTTGAGCTCAAAAGCTGAGGGACAGCACCCAGGCCCAGAGTTCAGGCCCACGACCGGACCCAAAAAAAAAAAAAAAGGCAGCAGGTGCCTATGGATAAAGAAACAACTCCTAGGAAGAATTAAATGTTACATAACTGAATGGATCATTCTGAAACTCTTCTCCAAGGATTCTGCTTCAATTATGAAAAAAATCCCAATAAATATTAAGTATCCCAACTGGGAGCCTGGCTCACTGGCTAAGTTTTAAATAGGAAGCCTGTTTGGTTGTTTCCAGTTTCATACCCAGTGACACACCAGTCTCTTCTCGTCCCATTGCTTTCTCCTATGAATTTTATTACCTAGTAGGCACTAAACATATAGTTTGAAACTATGCCTAATCCAAGAAAAAGAAAAGGAAGATATACCAGACATGGGTGGCTCATGCCTGTAATCCTAGCTACTCAGGAGGCTAAGATCTAAGGATCAAGGTTCAAAGGTAGCTAGGCAGAAAAGTCAGTAAGACTCCAATTAACCACCAAAAGCCAGAAATGGAGCTGTGGCTCAAAGGTCTAGAGCACTAGCCTTGAACACTAAAGCTCAGGAATAGCACCAAGGCTTAGTTCAAGCCCCAGGATCTGCACAGACACACACACACACACAAAGCAGATATGATCATGTCCAAAGAAATTACACCTACATCAACTAGATAAGTAAAAGGAGTAGAGACAATAGTCACAAACTAACCTGGGGTCAAACCCTGCATGAGATGGAAGAGCTGTGAATAAAGAACCTGGCACTTGGTAATTTCAACAAATGATCATTATTCTGATTGCTCAGAAAAAGCTGTTAATATTGACTGGTTGGTTAATTCAGGATTTCTTAATCTTGGGCACTTACATACGTTGGGGCTGAGAATTTTTTGTTGTGCATTTTAGGGTAGCCTCTGCCAATCAGTTGCGGGTGGCAGCCTCTCCCTTTACCCCCACTGATAAAAACAAAACTATCTCCAGACTCTAACAAATCATCTTTAGTCCCTTAATTTTCCCTTGGCTGAAAACAGCTGAGTTGGCTTGAAGAAAAGAGGCTCCCAAACTCCAGGCTGTATCGACCATTCCCCTGAGCTGCTGAGTGATCCGTTTGTCCCCTCACAGAAAGCAGTCTCTGTCAGTGAATCTCGGGTTTCTAGCCGTGTACCATCATCTTGTTGTGTGATGGGAGTTGCTGTGTTATCTTTTCATGAACCAAGAAAACCAATCCTTTATTTCCAGCAATGACACAGACATGTTGTTTTTATCCTAAAACTAGAAACAAATGAGTTCCTAAAACCATGGCAATGTAAAGCCACTATGAAAAGCCAAGTGTTTGTAGTGTCTGCCTACACCTCCTGAGGTGTACCTCCAGGAAGGTTTAACCCCAGGAGGAAGAAGAGTCACCAGCCCAGGCACAGCTCCCCAAGAACGTGGGGATCCGCAAGAAAGGAGGAGACCCCATCCTGAGCAACCAGAGACAGCCCAGGAAGTGGGAACAGAAATAGCCTGGACGTGTGGGAAAGGGGTTGTCCTCAACTGCGATGAGGGAGGCAGAGGGAAGCAGGCAAGAGAGGAGAGCAGCAGGAGGGTGTAATGTACTGAGGGGGAGTGCGTGTCAGGCACTGTGGCGTTGTAAGCGTCAGTCAGGAGGCGGCTGGAGGCGGAGGGAGTGCTCAGACATACCAAGCTCTCAGAGGACATAAAACGTCCACCCAGGTGTTGGGTTGCACACCGGGAACCTCAGCACTCGAGAAGCCGAGGCCCGAGGTGACCTGGGTTACCAGAAAAGGTGGGGGGGGGGGGTAGAATAACAACTAAAGGAAAGCTGAATTACCATACTCGTTCATATGAAATATTCAGAGCTAGAGTCTTGGTCTGACTCTCCAAAGAGAAATACTTTTTGTAAGGAGAAAACTTAAGCTTTCTGTCTACCCCAC